TAGGCTATGACTTCTTTTTTCATGTGATATGGTGACAATTTTAAATGTGGCCATAAGGATATCAAAAGTAGTCACGGTAGAATAGGCTGTGAATTGATTGAAGAAAATAAAACTATGGCTAAAGGCCTACGGCTACGTTTTTTACCCGTGACCATTGTGAGTTTTTGTACTAGTGTGGTAAATAAAAGGTCGAAATATTTATGTAGGAAAGTGATTCTACACAATCATAAATATTATAGTGATTTCTTACGAACCTTAAACCCGATATTTTAAGGGTACCGAAAATGTGAAGCATTAAAATGGTAATGTAGCTATTTCCTAGACAATTCACTACAAAAGATATTAGAAAAGCCAAACAAAATATAACAGGGAACATTACAGGTTTATTAAGCCTGCTTCATTTATTGAGATTTATTAAACAAAATATAACAGGGAACATTGTAGGAATATGAGAATATGACATCTCAAATTAACCCAACCAAAGGCCTAATAGTATATCTTGAAATTGTTTATATTTATTTTATTGTAAAGTTGAGATTTATGATGTATATATGCCATATATTTTTGTAGATTATAAAATGCCTCTTRGAAACATCGTTGCAYGTAGTACMATTTATTATTCATCAGACAAACAAACAATACATGGAGTTATGCTTAACAATGATTGCTATAGAGTCTGAATCGATGAATCAACAAAGTCAGTTGTTTTTTACCAATACAAGTTGGAGAGCACAAGATAGTAGGGGATGCAATTGGTAGTTTCTTTGGCTTGGCCAAAAAGCCKTGTCATCCCTGACTTAAAGGTGTGTGGCTTATCTAATTTGTTTTTGTTGTTAAACTTTCTTTCCCATATAGTTCCATCGGAACAATTATTTATTTCACTCTCTTTAACAGAATATATTATTTCTTGACCTTTTATAGGTATTTTTGATACCCTTGTTTAATTAAATAATAATAAATCTCTTACTTCTATATAAATTATGATTATTGTTTTTGGAAAAATGGGATGGAACCTAGGAAAACCTTTATTCAAAACATAAAAAGGACTACAACTCTAAGAAAAGGCATACCCTTCTAATTACAAAATTATGCCCAGAGCAACAAAAGCCTAACCCAGAATCCAATAACAAATTTAATGACCCAGTTACCCAACTTAGATAAGTCACTAGAAAAGGACCAAAATTAAACAATGTAAAAGCCCATATGTTGGTAATTAACTTTAATAGAAGCATACCATTGCTAATTGATCAAAAACAAAACCCCTTCTAGCTATTTCCGATCTCCTCCTCTAAATCCCGATCCATCTTAATTTCCAATACTAGAATTCATCATATAGTCATTCACACACACAACTGCTGAAACCAATAGAAGCATATTAGAATGGAAAATACTCACCATGGCTTCAAAATATATGTACCATCCATCAAGCATAAAGTCAACTCTTGGATCTGGTTCAAACCAGTCCACTTATTAGCAGCCAACATATCAGAATCACCATTCTAGATGTAGCAATCACTAGTGTGGACTAAAAACCATGTATCCAAAACCAGCATATGTGTAGATTCTGATCAAATGAACCCATAATATGGAAATTCAAACATTCCATAAAAACAACGTGTGTTTCAGACAATACCAAAGAACTAGCAGGTGATTAAAACTTACACTACAAGATAAAAGGGTTTTAGAGAAGGTTTTGTTTTGAGCTTAAAAGTATTAAAAGCTTCTCTAAAGGTTTTAGAGAAGCTTTTCAATTCCATCACAATGCTTCTCTATATAACGGTAGGTAAAGGTTTTAGGGAGGGTTTTCGGAGGGTGCGTTTTTGTTAGCTTTTAGAGACTTTTTTTGGGGCTTTAGATACACTTTCAAAACTTTTCTAAAGGTGAGTCCACTTTTTTTAAAAAACTTCTCTAAAAGTATTTATTAGTGACGTTTTTCAAGTATTTGTGACGGTTTAGAAACGTCTCTAAAAAATACTTTCAGAGAAGGTTTACAAAAAARCTTCTCTAAAAGTATTTATTAGTGACGTTTTTCAAGTATTTGTGACAGTTTAGAAACGTCTCTAAAAAATACTTTCAGAGAAGGTTTACAAGAAAACTTCTCTAAAGGTATTGTCTTTAAGTACATTTTACTACTTTGAAAATCTTCTCTAAAGGTATCTTTAGATACAAATAATCAAAACCTTCTCTAAAGGTTATCTTTAGATGCACTTTTAAAACATCGATTCCTTCTCTAAAGAGCATATTATTTTCTTTCAACCGTATTTCAGCCCTGTATTTATATATAATTATATATTATAAATAATAATATCAATCAACAAAAACAACATAAAAATCTCAAAGCAATAAATTTCATACATTTACCATATAAAAGAYAAGAATTTTTCAAAACAATCTCTAACGTTCAATCAATCCATACATCCATTTTTTTAACATCCTTCCTGAACTATGTACGATGTCCTCCGAAAAGCAGGTTTCTGACAAAGTACGATGTTATCTGGCAAAAGGGATACAGACTTCCACAATAAGATGATATGCCACAGACCATGTTCCTTACCACAAGGTTATCCCCAGAAGCAAGAGTTTGCAGAATGTCTTCATCATTTTTCACTTGGAAATATATACCTGAACAGGCAGCAGACCAGGGCATAATTGAGACCAATGAAAGAACTTTTATCAAAACAACAACAAAATGTAGAATTATCCAACAACTGAATAAAAAGATTCTAAATTGTGCCAACATTCACACTTGACACTTCCAAACTACATACAGACGTCTGTTTAATGAAGGCAAGCAAAAGTTGCTAAAAGAATGAGATATGGTTCCAAAGTGATCAAGTGTAAATGAATTAGTTCTGGAAATTAGAAATTGACAAGCAAAGTTCATTCCAAGTTTAACAAATATGAACACATTAGATATYGTGCATGGTCCTATGAACAAATAATAATGATAAAAACATCATTGTGAATGTTATGCATTAAAGTTTGAAAGAAATAAAAGATAAACCTCAAGATGCTCGGTTCTTAAAGTTTCTCCATGAGCTATCACGGTGTTGTATCCCTTCACACTTCAAACTCAAAAACTACCATTGACATTATATTCTCTTGGAATACCTGATAAAACACGACCAACATAATACAAAGTATGATGCATAGCAGCAAATGTGGCCATTAAGAAATGTACAAACTTACCTCTGCAGAAGACCTGTTTTCATCCCCAACAAATTGAGTGTTGGAATTGGGTTTGTGAAAACTCATCTCAACCAATGAATCTGTTTTCATTAACAAGAGAGAACTTTATAAAATAAAGTCTAGAACTCCACATATGCATTAACTGTGAAAAATACGTGAACTTTAAGTTGTCAAGACCATATTGCAAAAGCTCAAAATAAGTACATATAATCATATATCGATCCAAAGATAAAACAGTCATCAAAGACCTTCCAGCCTAGTGGTAAAGGCTTGGGCATGACATAGTCATGAACCCAAGTTCGAGCCCTGGGAGGGGAGTGTTGGCGACATTTAAGTGGGGCCATGTTTAGCCTCCAAACTTGCCGGGGATTAGTCGGGCTTTGGCCCGGGCACCCTTACAAAAAAAAAAGATAAAACAGTCATATATGTATATACAGTTACATATTATATTTAACCAAAAAATGATATCTAAAAGCTCAAAATAAGTACATAATCATATATTATACTGAACCGTAACTTTTGAGTCTGTTTTCAAGTACAAGAGGAAGGAAATATAATGATGAACATTATCAAAACTCCTAATTCATTAGTAGAAGAAAATTTTGCCAAACTAGTTGTGTACCCGCA